CCCGTCACCTCTCAGCTGCGCTCATCCCCGCCACCGGTCCCGAAGCGATCCTCCGTTCCCCGAACTTCCAGGTTGCGGGGGAGGATACTGATGGCAGAGGAGACATAGACTCCTTCCATCAAATAAGGAAGGGGCGTGGCCTGCCACAGGGCGGTGTGTGTCTATGGACACACACAGGCGCTGCGAGGACGAGTGCCTCCATTAGAACGATGGTGGCACCGTGCAGGGGGAAGAGCATGGCAGGGACACACTAGAAAACGAGGAAAGAAGTACTTTAAAAAAAAAAAAAAAAAACAACAACAGCCTCCAGCAAAGGAGGGTCTCCTTAAAGGAGAAAAGAAAAAACATTTGGCTTTAATATCACTTGAAGGACTGGTAAGCTACAACGTTTTAGTTTTGTTTTTGGATTTAGATAAGCTTTAACTTGTGATTTTCAAAAATACTGCTCAATTTCTAACACACCGTTCACATTATGAATACCAAGTAGGCACATTGGACGTTCAGCTTACAGGAAGGGAGCACATGCTAAAGTGAAGAAAAACAAATAGGGAGTCACATACTTTAACTTTTAAAAATGCTTGATATTGTAAATCAAGTAATTCCATTACCTCCTGCTGAGAATCAGATTTCTCAAGGATTTCAAGACTCTTTCTCTCATCTTCAACTTTGCCCTCTTGAGGAACATTCTGTCTAATTTCCTCTACACGTTTGCCATGACTCAGATTTTCGGTTTTATCTTCACTTCTCGCTGAAGACACAAAGCAACAATTTGCAGCTGTACTGATCACAGGTTTGTTACTAACAGTTAAAGGAAGCCGTCACGAGAGAAGTACAGGGTCTGCCACGGCTGAAAATGCTGTGCGACTGTCATGCCGATCCTCTGGTTTTAATAGTTTTAATATCCCTGCTCCAGAAAAAGTATGCAGATCGGAAGTTCTAAGGTTACTTGCTGCATACTTGGTACGGGTCAGTGATTAAGGAAGCACAGGAGCCAGAGACGGCCAGTCAGATAGTATTTTTCAATACCACCAATGACCGCCTACATATCTCACACATGGCAGTTTTATATAGCCATTATAAACAACAAAGAATGTAAATGTGCCAGAATATAGTGCACAGAAGTTCAACTTCAAAATGATCCAACCAGCAACACAAAATATCAACTCCTGCTTCAATATGCGGCCTATAGGTTTCTATATCCACAGACACTCCATGACTCGTTTTGTTGCTTATTATAACGGTGTTATCTGTTGGCTGTTTACTTTATAATCCATTCATCAGTTTGTGGTATACTACTGTCAGCACCGAATTTCCATCATTGTAGGTTTGAGAGCTGTGGCAGTGAAGTGATAATGCACCCTTCTCACTCCCCTTGTCCATTCACAGAACACCTTGCATTCTGTTCACAAAATGCAAGGTGTTCTATGATTGGACAAGGGAAAAGGAAGGGCAGATAAACGACAGGACAAGGGGTTAGGAGGGGCAGATCAACGACAGGATCTCCCCTTGGACAAGGAGAGAGGAAAGGTTGGGTGAACAACAGCATCACTTTACTGATGCAGCCACAATTCTCATATCCTATGCTGGAAGTCCAGCACTGACAGTAGTATATGGTAAACATAATGAATGGATTATAGAGTAAACAGAGGCGCCGCAAACATTTAAACACATTGTTACAAAAAGCAACCTTCTTTTTCTTACACATTTAAATGATTCTTTATAGCTGGAGTTCTGCTTTAACGCTATAATAATTAATAATTTAATAATTGGTGTTAGAAAGCCATTAGGTATACTGTAGCGATGAATCTGTATCTGCCCCTTGACATGTCACAGACTTGTATGACAAAGATGTGTTTTTGCACCACTGTCCTGAGAAGTGATCACTGGCATATGACAACAGCTCAGTAACTAGAGCAGTGCACAGTGTTCATCAAACTCTAGTGGAAAAATGTACATGTAAAGAACTTTATTTTCCAGAAGAAAAGTGAAATACAATGCCATAACTTACATGAGTCATGTACTGAAGTAGCTGCCACTGGCACATCTGCAGTGACACGAATATCATGGAAAGAGTCCTCAGATGGATGCGACAAGTCACTTTCAAGCTGCTCTGGTATGTCCTCTTGGTCTGAGGGAAAGAGGAGGGGGACAGTTAAACAATGATCCCATTATCTTCAGGCTCAAAGCCTGGCAGAACTGTCTGGGAATGACTGAGTTCACACACTAGGCAGCATTAGGATCAATTCTATAGAAGCAGAAAAATGGATTCATTCTGTTTTCTCTCTCTTCATTAACATTACTGTCACAGAACCCTCATGGATAGGGAGAAGGATTTCCAAACATTGTTTAAACACATACTTTTGCCTATAGATGTCCAGTGCTGAAATGTGTTATATCACTGCTTGGCACTTGAACTGTAAAACAACTCCCTCAACTTAGCTTTTTTAGCAATAGAAATAAGGGAGCCTAGAAATAAATTAACAAAAAGGACTACCCAGGGGTCTACCAATAGTGTGCCCACTGCCGACAGTGACTGACTTAATATAGGTTAGTACAATGAAAGTATTATATATATTATGGTCTTTATCCGTCACATGAGAATTACCACATAGAAATGTATCCCATCTCTGCAAGGTATGCAAAAGAATGTGCACAATCCAGAAGGATGATGAAAGTTACTTTACAAGCTGTTGTATTGTAATAACTCCGATTTAAAAATAGCACAAGGACACCAAGATAATACAACCATAGGATAGGGTACTATGACAAAGTAGTAGCTTGTCTGTGTGATGTTGAAGAAAAATGAAGTGACCAATAATCACGAAGGTACCCCAATTTGTTAGAATTTGTATCATTTTTGTCTCCAAGTAATTCTTGACAATGAGACTGTCACAGGTCGGCTCAGTAGATCGGGAGGTGAGCGAACACATACCGGGTTCGGTCACCTCTCGATCCTGTCACGGCTCTCTGCCATGACAGGGGGAGGGGCTGGATTCCCCTCTCCCCGCTCCGATCTGCCAGCGCTGACTGGCGGAACGGACGGGGCGGGTACAGCTGGCTCTGCCTCTAGATAGGCAGAGCCAGCTGTCACTCACGCAGCTGGGCGGATCCCGTCATCTACGTCGGGATCCGCTCCGGCTGCGGCGTCTCAGTATACCGCGAGCTGTAGCTCGCGGTATACTGAGCTTAGGGTAACGGGAGGACGCTAGTTTGTGTCCTCCCGCTACTCTAAGGAGAACTATGGGGAAAAACACTGACCCCATAGTTCTCCTTTAATACCATTAGGGGATAAGTGACAGGGTTCTTTTCCCTCCTGAATGGTTATACAGTACTGCATTACAAGCAAAATGTACAATTCTGGATAAATATTAGTATTACTAATAGCAATTAAAATAGCAATCAATTTTTTGTAATTATTAGGGATGCACCGAGTACAAGTACCGATACTTTTCCTCGAGTACTCACCGATACCAATTATCGATACCTTTTTTTTAGCGTTATGTGACAGTTTTTCTGAAACAATGCAGACTAATGATTTTAGGATAGTGGTGGAACACCAGTGCCCAGTCAAAGCTGCAAACACTGAGCTCCTGGTAGTTCTGCCACTGGCTCCGAGCTGTAGAGGGACTACAAAACCCAGCAATACAGAATACCACACCAGCTATAGAGGACTACAAATGCCAGTGATCCATTATACAACAATGCAGAATATCACCAGCTATAGACAGGGCTTGGCGAACAAATCGCCTGGGAGCTAAGTGGCGTAAAAAATTGGGATTTGAACTGTTTGGGATATATTGAGTGCTAGAGGACTAAAACATTCTAGCAATCCATTATACAGCAATGCAGAATACCACCAACTACAGAGGACTACAAATCCCAGTAATACATTACACAGTAATGCAGAATAATATGAAGCTACATACAGTACTCTGTTGCTCACCAGGGATGTGCAGTGTCTCAGTAGGCTGTGCTGGGTCTGACCAGGGCGGTAACGGGGTCTCAAGAGGCTGTACAGGGTCAGACCAGGGCTGTACATGGTCTCGGGAGGATGTTTGGAGTCTCCCCAGGGCTGTCAGGGGTCTCACCAGGGCTGTACGGGCAGGTGTCACCTGGGCTGCAGGTGGAGGAGGAAATGCGCGGCCGGACCAGCGCTGTAAAAGACAGCTACCACAGGTCCCTACTAGGCTGCCCTGAGGTCCCCAGCAAACGCGTGACCTTACGGAAGTCCCTCCTGTTTCAAAATTTAAAGCGGCTGTATTGGCATTACCTATGTAATAGCACAGAGATAGGCCATTTTTATTGGATGTTGTCTATTCCAAGCCCAATGCAGAGATGTCTTGTTGTTGGCGAAAGGGGGAGATATGAAGCATCTGTCATGGTCAGATGATGGCGTGGCAAAACTTTTTTTTTAAATCTAAGCAACAAATAAAACCAATCAGCTGCACGAAAATCTCTTTGAGCTACAACACTTATCTTGTTATTTCATTAAACCCATCACAATTAGACTGCCACTTCTTGTATAACACTGGAGGCTTGGATAGGTCTCATCCCTACAAAAGGCATCTGGACACAAGTAGAACTTCTATGGCATCTAATAAGCAATCCATGTGCATTTAAGAGACAGAGCAATCCTCTGGGGATATGGTCATTCAGAATTTACAAATATCTTGTTTTAACATTTAAAATCTGACCTCATATTCTCGTGTCTCGAAAACAATTTCGTTTATTACACACAGCTGATGTGGTTTGTAGCATTGTGATTTTGTTGTTTATCGTCCCCTGGGAGATTAGATTGTGAAAACATTTCCTTGTACTAAAAGAACACTTTGTGGTCGTTGACATAAAACATTAGTGATGTGCTGATACAGTCCAGTAGTCCTGGATATCATCAAACTACACTGACAAGAAGAGTCCTCTGCTGCTCTCTAGAGGATAGTTCACCATTGCCTTTTTCTGAAAAAGTCACGAAAAATAGTTACCTCTTCAATAAAAATAAAATGGCTTTAAATTAGTACAACATGGATTTTATCACGGTTATGGTAAATGTATTTAGTGTGAGATTTGCCAGATACAATTATAAAATTAAATTTGTATATAAATTTGTTTTATCCTCAACTGAGATGAAGACCATTTTGTCACCACACATGGTATTATCTGCACTGCAATTTTGCTAAACATTTGTTTTTTTCCATAGGCTATTTTTTCATTTGATGCCTAACAAGAAAAGGTACAGAATATACACAGATGAGCCATAACATTATGACCACCTGCCTAATATTAAATCGGTTCCCCTTTTGCTGCAAAAACAGATGTAACCCATCAAGGCATGGACTCCACTAGATCTCTGAGCGTATGCTGTGGCATCCGGCACCAAGCTGTCAGTAGCAGATCCTTTAGGTCCTGTAGGTTAGGAGGTGGGGCCTCTATGGATCAGACTTGTTTTTCCAGCACATGCCACAGATGCTCCACTGGACTGAGATCTATAGAATTTGGAGGCCAAGCCAACACCTTGAACTCATTGTTGTGTTCCTCAAGCCATTCTTGAATCATTTTTGCAGTGTGGCAAGGCACATTATCCTGCTGAAAGAGGCCACTGCCATCAGGGAATACCATTTTCATGAAGGGTTGTACTTGGTCAGCAACAATGGTTAGGTAGATGGTACGTGTCAAAGCATCATCCACAAGAATTGCAGAACCCAAGTTTTCCCAGCAAAACATTGCTCAAAGCATCACACCCCCACCGGTTTGCCTCCTTCCCATAGTGAATCCTGGTGCCATCTCTTCCCTAGGTAAGTGACACATGACGTAAAAGAAAATGTGACTCATTAAGACTAGGTCACCTTCTTCCATTGCCCCGTGCTCCCATTCTGATCCTTACATGCCCATTGTAGGCTCTTTTCGTGGTAGACACGGGTCAGCATGGGCACCCTGACCGGTCTGCACCTATGCAGCCCCATATGCAATGAACTGTGATGCACTTTCGGTTCAGAATCCTTTCTATGGGAACCTGCATTCACTTTTTCGTGAATTTAAGCGACAGTACTTCTTCTATTGGATCGGACTACACAGGCCAGCCTTCACTCCCCATGTGCATTAATGATCCTTGGCCGCCCATAACCCTGTTGCCGGTTCACCGGTTTTCCTTCCTATGAACCACTTTTGGCAGGTCCTGACCACGGCAGACCGGAAACATGCAGTTTTGGAGTTGCTCTGACCCAGTCATCTAGCCATCACAATTTGGCCCCTGGCAAAGTCGCTCAAATCCTTACGCTTGGCCATTTTTTCTGCTTCCAACACATCAGCTATGGGGACAAAATTCCCACTTGCTGCCTAATAATAATCCCACCCACTTCCACATGCCATTGTAACGAGATAATCAATGTTATTCACTTCTCAGTGGTCATAATGTTATGTCTGATCCGTGTGTACATACTAATTTTACATACACACATATATAGATATCTATATATAGATATCTATAGATATAGATATATAACATATATACACACACACACACACACACACACACACACACACACCCTCTTGTAGTCTGATGACTTCCTCAGTGACATTTCAAAGTATCAAGACAGAGGAAGTTATTTCACATGAGATGGGTCAGGTAATACAGACATGTTCTTCTTCCCCCTTACCTAATTCATTTGATGTAAATGTTATTTTCCTTTGATTCAAAACTCACAAGTGCAGAGATGCAATAAAGATATTTCCATATCCTGCAGTCCTGTATTTTATTTTTGTCGCTTACCCTCTAAAAGAACGTTTACCTTGTAGTGACGAGTCTGAAAAGTTCAAGTCCCGAGAGTGCAATGTTGCAGGCTTTGAATGGTCTCTTGTATCTTCATTTTCAAAAGGTGGCTGGCCGTCACTAGTAGTAAAAAACACAAACCAGAAAAAAGCAGTAAATTAGAGCTTTAAAATTAGCCTTCACCAACCTCTGTAGATGCTTGTGAAGCAATTCATTCTCAAGCATCCTTAAAAGAGAACTGTAGCCAAACCTCTTTTGGGGCACATGAGGACATTTACTAATGTCTTCCTGTGACTCAAAACTCAGCATATAGCGGGCTATTGCCTGCTATATGCGGATCAGAGCAGAGTCTCTCTGCAGCTGGTAAGGATGCCGACAATATTGTCGGGATCCAGCCCCCTACCTGATTGACAGCTGGCTCTGCTTCTCTAAAGCCAGGGCCAGCTGTGCCCTCCCCTCCCATGTCTGTCCCTCCAGTCAGCGTTGGCGGAACTGAGAGGGGAATCCCTGCGGGGAGATGAGACTGACAGTCACCACTCTCTGATCGCTCAGTTCATGATCTCCTCTCTGCAGAGGTTTGTGATCACTCAGTTCTCAATCTATAGAGGCGATGTGTGACAGCTGCAGTATCACATGTTAGATGGGGATGAGTGCATTTCATTTTCCCCATAATTCTCCTTCAAAAGATCCTCAGAACAAAGACTAAAGTCAGGCTACTGTTAGTTTCAGTGCTAGTTCACACCAGATGCAGTCCGTTCCGTTTTGCAGCTGCATCAAAAACGCATCACAATGCTTTCCTATGGTATTTTTTGGGCTCTGTTCACGCCAGAGCAGTCCGTTCCGATGCAGCCAGAAAAAATACTGCTTGCCCTATTTTAGCTGCATCGGATCGCATCAAAATGCATCGGAACGCACCAGAATTTCCATTTTAAGAAACAACGCATCAATCACGGTAAAAGCGCGGCAAAACACATTGCATCGCATGAGGTTCTGACACAGTTCTGGTGTGAACTAGCCCTTAAAAAGCTTAGAAACAATTGATAGTGTTACATTAGAGGGCTGACAGACTGCCGAGATCTGATTCCCAACAAAAAAGCTGAGATTTTAGTGCCCTTGTTGTGAACTTTAGGAAGTAAGTTCACCGCAGTGCCTACAGATACAGGGATGAATGATGGCTTGCTTTAAAATGGTTTCACTGCTTGTTCAGAATAAGCAAATACTTTAGTGTGCACAATCTGTGCACAGGTTCACTTTATCTGCACAATAAAGACAGTGCAGCTGTAACACAACAAAGGTGCTGCGATTCTATGGTTATATCTCAACATCGCTGTATATAAGGGCGAGTTAGCCTTCTGTGCCACTGGTCCAATAGCAGAGCAGATGTGGCCCATACAATATAATGGAAATACAATACATCTTTGAGCTGGCATTCCGCTTTTGTGTCTAACTGCAGGTTTGCAGTGTATGTACAAATGTAATATTTCATCAGTTCAGACCACTGCAAGATGATGGCTCATTTGTTGCTCTGGGAAACTGCACTTTATACACTGCCATTTGTCCTATTAAATCTTCCTACATGGCCTTGAAACACAAGGTATGGTGTTTTGTATATAATTCAGTACGAAAAAATACAACTAAAATATAAAAATATTTTAGAGTTTATCTTTGGTAAATATGAAGTTAAGCATATATAGTATATATTTCATATTTACCTTTTCAGCCAGCAGAACGGGTTCTAGGCACCTTTTTACAGGTTCACTAGGCTAATTCTAACTGTGTTGGTGAAAAAGCATGTTTACAGACTTGAATAGCTCAAGCTCTGATTACAGAAAGGACTGATTAGCCCAGGGAATGACAATCCAACATCACTCCTTTTTTTATGGACTTTTCATTAGAATGAGGCAGTCTGTAGGAAGACAATTACCACCCTGCTCTCTCTTTAGGGAAATAAATAAATACATTAAAATTAAAAATGTATAATAAAAAGTTATAGTGAATACACCAAAGGGTATATGGTAGTGTAAGAATGATCTTGTCACGATTGATCTAGTCTGTAACAAATGGATGGCATCTATAAATAAGACCCGGAGTCAACAAATTCATGGTCAGACCACTCCTGTCCATTACTTTGTAACATAGCTAAAATTCTCCTGCACCAAGGTAGACAAGGAGGCATCCACATAATCACTACACTAGACCCTGCATAAAACATGGATCAATACAAACTCTTATTTTCTGCAAATAAAGCAAACCTTCAACCAAAGTCTCATATTGTATCCAAATAAACTACTGTTTTCTGTTCCTTATTCCTGAGGAACACTGTGCAGGTTTATATTTGATGGTACCAGGCAGTTCCTTTATTTTCCTTCCATATAAAAGGGTGTAAAATGCATTTAGCAATGCAGAAGTTCTTTTAAATCCTTACATTGAAAAATATGTTTTTATCTAAAACTCTAAGCTTTGCAGCTCTGCTCTTCCTGTTGCTGCTTAAATGATCTTTCAACACTAGCATCTGCTGGCTCTCGGCTCTGCTTGAATTGTCACATAGCTGGAACAATGTATTACTAGAGTTCAGCAAGACCTATCTGCCTGCACAGAAACAGCAGAATAGGCACAAAGGTGCCTTAGTGACAAATTAGTTGCCAGCACAAGGAAAGTGGATTATTTCCCAAGGCAGCAAATCAGATTGTTACATTATAACTAGAATCTGTTAATAAGCATTTCACCTATTTTCTCTTGACAAAGAGCACAGAAACACAATATAATACCCATTTTTGGGGGTAAAATGCAAATGATGGGGTTGTGTCAGGTAAATGGATACCAAACATGACAAGCTTTACAATTGCAAAATTGCGTGCGCCCATGAAACGGCAAAAAAACTGGTACCCAAAATTGCTCTAGGTGACACTTTAAAAGCCTTCACAGCACATAGGCGCATCGGACGCACATTTGCATTTGAATGTGGCCCCTATATGATGCATAATGGAAGTGACAGGTTCCTCTTCATGAAGACATTTAGACCTATAGACCCCACTAAAGCTGATAAAACACATATTGTTTCACCGGCCTTTTCTCCAGCCACAGAGGCCACAGAAATGCCAGCCTGAAACTGGAAGTGATGAAATCCTAAATTGCGTCTGGGTTCATTCTAGGGATGCACGGATATATCGGCCGCCGACACATATCGGCCGAAAATGGCACTTTTGGCTAAATGCCGAAAGTGACATTTTCCTGCCGATACAGCGGCGCATCCGTGATTTCTTTCCTCCCCGCTGGACGCTGCTCTGTGTCCCAAGCAGGGAGGAGAGAAAGTGACAGACGGCCAAGTGCTGTGAGCGGTCGGTGTCTCTCCTCCCAAACTGCTCGGCCGCCTATCACAGTGCGGCACAGCAGTGTGGGGGCGGAGACAGCGCTGTCACAGTGTGTGTCAGAGAGGAGAGCAAGGTACAAACACTCAGTGATCGCTGAGTGTTTGTACATAATTGAGGACATGGTATGGTTAATATATCCTCAATTATGAATGAATGGGAGTGATCTATATCCAATCCTGTTCATTCATAATTGTGGTTATAGTAAACATACTATATTCTCAAGTTATCAATGAGCAGGAACACTCAGAGGATTCCTGTTCATTGATAACAGGGGATACAGAAAAAGAGATTGAGGACTCTGAGGACTCTGTGTTCTCAATCTCTTTTTCTATTTTAAAAGGGAAATATCAGGGGTCTGTTGAGACCCACAATATTTCCCCGAAGCCCCTAAAAGTAAGGTAAAAAATAAAAATATATAATAAAAAATGATTTTCGGTGCACCTCTAGTTCATTCATCAAAAGGGAGATCCGACAGTAGATGTACACCAATTTCCCTCCGGTCCCCCCCACTGACAGCTGTCATGCTGGTCTGGGGCCTGCACAAGGGTCAGCGGAGCGAGGATATACACTAGCAAAAGGATTCACTCCTTTAGGTCTGCACAAGTGATTGGTTCACTTCTATGTGAAAGTCGTGATAGATAGATAGGATAGAATCTCTATTTTTGGTGCATTTTAATCACCTAAATGTTCATGTTTCTTTTATGTAGCAAGAAGGGAGCACAAACGGACATCTCCTGGTGCCGGCTAATGTCGGTAAAACAAGCAATTAGACAGATTAATCTTTAACTGACAAGATCATTCAAGCTGACCATCACATTGTGATCGGATGAGTCTAATATTGGATGACGATCATCTCATGTCTATTGCTGGCTTTACAGCTTAGCTACATTGTTATTGTTGGTTGAACAACAGAAATAATGTGCATTAGTTGGCTTTTTGGTTTACCGGGGAGTCAACTCGAGTTCATCTTCCACTCCATGATCCAGAACATCAGAGTGAAGGGTCCGAGGCCGCTCAATTTTTGGAATGGGGGAAAGTCTATGATTTGGACTATGGTGAGAAGATGTGATATAGGATCCATCATTATCTGTAATATGTTAAAGAAAACAACTGTTATTGTTATCACTATTAGATACTGGGTGTAGAAACACAGAATAGTAACTAAATGATACATGGTAAGCTGCTTAGCAGGGGTTTTATGTGCCCCACATCAGAACAGCAATAAATGGAACATGTGTGTTACAGTACCATTCACTTCTGGTAAACTCTTGATAATGTTTCCATATATACTGAAGAATGTTAGCAGTAAAAAGATCACATATATCATACTGAAGAATGTTAGCAGTAAAAAGATCACATACATATCATACTGAAAAATGTTAGCACTAACAAGATCACGTATATTATATTACCTTCCACAGAAACTTTCTCTTTGTGATTTATTTCAGTTCTTGACACAGGGGTTGAAGATAGCCTGCGAGAAGACTTTTTTGTCTGTGGTGCAGCCATTTTCACTTCAGTTGGCAATAGTCTTTCATATTTCTGTGTCTTTATCCTATTCAAGAGAACATGGTCCTGAGGCGTGAGATTATCTTCTAAAAAAGTAACTCTGTGCTGGGGGGTATTTGTCACGGTGTTTAAAAGTCCTCTGCTTGGCAGAGCAGGGATGGCAGCAGCATGAATGACTCTGTGTTGATAATTACGGAAAGCCTCTTCTACCAGTTCTGCCTCCTTTTCAAGTTCTTTAATCCGAGCTCTGGTGTTGGCCACAAATTCCAGGTCTGAGTCTGGAGAGCTGCTACGAGTCCCTTCAAGGTGGCGATGCTTCTGATTTGCAATGCCACCTGCGTTAACAACAGAATCCAGATAACGCTGGTTTCTCAAGGATGGCTTATCAACATAAGTATCAGGATGAGTATGCTTATTGGCATGGAAATCTAGCACAGAGCGATCAGCCAGAGTTGCCCTGGGAAGGCTATGCACACTTTCAAAAGCTGAGAACCAAGAGAAGCACACACAGAAAAGCAAATTAAAAAGATTAGAATAGATGAAAATAGAGATCAATGTATTAGTTGCAAATGATTATCAAACTACTTATAACTTACCTACATAGAACAAACACAATCAATTTTGTAAAAATGATAATTTACCACTACAATTAAATCTCATTAAATCCCAGTAAAAATAAATTGCTTATTTAAAAAAAAACAATCACTGATTCAGGCAAAGGTGAGCAAATTTGTTTGAAAGCATTCTGCACACACTATGCGATCTCTGCACAACACAAATAAACCACATGACATTACTAACACAGTAACAACAAAAAATGATAAATGCATAATTAAAACATCCACACAAAGCAGGAAACTATAAACAAGCAGATGGGTAGCATTGAAAATTCTGAAACAGACAGCCAGAACTTTGCAAATCATCTGTGCCCAATGTATTCATGCTGAAGTTGTTACATGCCATCTATAAAGTTATAACTAATTTAGGCTAAGAATAGCATGAGGCTTATTATGAAGCTGTCCACTAGAAGATGATATCTACAAACTCTTTTAAAATGTAATGCTAGGGATTTGTGGACCTTAAAAATGCTGCAATGTCCAAAACGCAGACCTAATGTTGAAATAAGCCACAAACATACCAATTAGAAGTGAATCCCCAATGCAGCTTGATAATCAATAGCAAAAGGGGCAATTTTCTGCATTTCATATAGAAACATTACTGTTTATTTCTCTTACATGTCCTCTTATGTTTTTAGCATGCTATATTATTACAGTCCCCGCATTCAAGCAGCTAAAAATGTTGGCAGCATGGAGATCAATAATAATAACATTGAGGAAGTCTATGAAACATTACATTGGCTTTATTTGATTAATTTACTGAAGTATCATGCTGAAGTTCACAATGTAGTTATAAAGGTTTCATGAAATAAGTCAAACCTTGCTGTGTCTGACGCAGTTGAAAATCTAGTTGGTCTACTTGCACATTTAATCTTTTCAAAGATTCCTCACGATTTAATAGCTGCATCTTCATTTCAAGACCACGTTCCATCTGTGAAAAACAGGAGTTGTTACATTAGCTTAGAAGACTAGTAAATTGTTTTAAACTACGTGCTTATCTTCTCTGAATGACAGCTCAGGATAGGAAAGGAGAAAATAAAATGTTCCCTAGTCATTGAAGCTGAACTCATGAAAAACAACTTATTACACAGTTGAAATGTATGTATGTACATTGTTTTAACTGCCAGAGGAATTGTTCTTTTTGGTCAGTTTGGTGATCCAGATACCCCTGCAAGATAGTACAACCAGGTTTAAAAAAACATCTTGCAAATTGCACTACAGTTACCTTAAACTACTGTCTAGCCCAGGGGTCTTTTTAGTAGAGCCACATCATATATTTTACATATATTTGCGGGCCGAAAAAAATATCAGTTTTATAAATAAATGAACTAAATTTAAATGAATGAACAAGTCCCAACATACACCTAGGAGTGCCCAGCAGAATCACCCCATGGCACTCCTGCATCCATGAGTGCACAGCATAGTCCCTTGTTATATTCAGGAGTGGCCAGAATTGTCCCCCTTACATCCTGAAGTGCCCATCAGATTCCCCCCTTACATCCAGGAGTCCTTCCCTTAACTTTCAGGAAGCAGAGCGGAAGCTTGGAGACACAGGAGGACTGTACTTCCTCCTTCCAGACCTGCTCTAAGATTTGGGGGTGGGGCAATCACAGGAATCCTGCAGCCCTAGCAACCAACCGTGTTGGAGGGTGGGGGGAGATATTTGCTCTGGGGACTGCCATGGTTGGCTTGCAGTGGATGAGCCAGTCTCTGTATTACAACACACAGACCAGCGCATTCACTGCCAGCCAGGCAAGGATGCAGCAGGCCAGATAAAATATGGTAGTGGGCCAGATATGGCTTCCAGGCAGTAGTTTGGAGACCCCTGGTCTAGACATATTTACATACCTATGCTGGTTGTATGCAAAATCTACTTACTTACTAACTTGTTCTACATAACCAAATGGAGTTCAGCTTTAAAGAACAACTCCAGGGGGAAATATTCTTAACCCTTGCAGTGGGTCTACTCCTGCACTGCAAGGGTTAAGTACTAATTTTCATCTAGGAACTAGGATCCTCGCATCCAATACACAGTGTATTGGACGTGAATACTCAAGGATCCTTAGACCGCTGCAGCGTAGGGGAGAGCCGCTGGAAGGAGCAGCCTAAGGTTGCATTCCCCCCATAGGCGACAGCATTTTCGCTGCACATTTTTTCTTGTTTCCCATGCCTTTTTCACACATACAATAAGTCGCACATTTTTGCGAGCAGATTGTAAAGTGGGCAAGTGCGCATGAAAGTGTGCAAAAACGCAGCTAACGTGCATTTTAGAGCATTTCCATTCAAGTCTGTGGGGCCAAGAAGTGCTTAACCTGCCAAAAAGAAGCTCATGAATTTCTTTTCCAGCGACGGGCGTTTTGCTAGAAGTGACAAAACGCTCAGATGTTAAAATGGCCATAGAAATGAATGGGATTTTGTTCTGGGCGTTCTTTTAGGACAGAAAAAGCGCTACAAAACGCTAGGTGTAAATGAGGGCCCCCAGCGAGCCGGATCAGGTGAGTATAACTGTTATTTTCCTCCCTCGACCAAAACAAGCACTTAACCCTTGCAGTGTGGGGGTAGCCCCACTGCAAGGGTTTATAATATTTTTATCCAGAGTTCTGTTTTAAATTTATAAGTCTCTCATGTTTATGGAGTCTATGTAAAGAAATCTCATAAATGTATCTATTTAAAAAGGAGTTCAAGAAATACAGAAAGTTAGTTTGTATATTCACCAAGTAGAATTCAGTAAATTAAATGTGATAATAGCAACTGGACATTTTGAAGCGGCTAGGTTAAAAGGAGAACTATGGGGTTAAGGCTTTTCCCCATAGTTCTCCTTAGGGTAACGGGAGGACACAAACCAGCGTCCTCCTGTCACCCTAGGCTCAGTATACCACGAGCTGTAGCTCGCTGTATACTGAGACGCCGCAGACAATTATGTCTGGATCCGCCCAGCTGCGTGAGTGACAGCTGGCTCTGCCTATCTAGAGGCAGAGCCAGCTGTACCCGCCCCCTCCCCAGTACGTTCCTCCAGTCAGCACTGGGGGATCGGAGCGGGGGAGGGGGGAATCCAGCCCCTCCCCTGTCACGGCAGAGAGCCATGACAGGATCGAGAGGTGAGCGAACGCCGGTATGTATTTGCTCACCTCCCGATCAACTGAGCCGACCTGTGACAGTCTCATTGTCACAGGTCGGCTAGAACTATGAGGTGAGTGAAAAGCACTCGCCTCATAGTTCTCCTTTAACCCATATTTTGGATTATAAATAGTACCAGTATTTTGCTAAACAACACTGTGCATCCTGCACTGCCTGCAAGCTTACCTCTAGTTCTAGCTGTCTTTCAAGGATTTCTCTTTGTATTTTAAATTCATCTTGGTCAAACTTTCTAGTAGCCTCCATTCTTTTCAGGTCTTCTTGAAGAGATAGAAATTCTGCTGATGGGTGTGAGGACCCTAAGATTTAAAAAGATTTAGATATAATACATTTTGTCTAGGTGATTAAAGCATTCCAACATCTAAAACAATCTAAGCATATCAAACTCTAAAATCCTTGCACCTGTACAGCACTTGTAGACTAAAGAAACAATTACATTTCTACTCTTGGCTTAAAAATTAGGCGTTTAATTACTTTAACCCAAGAAAACATTTTGTAATATTGTCTTACAAAAAAAAAATACTTTATTCTCCATGCAAACTTAACACAAACAGATATAACAAGATAAAAAAATTGTTAGTTTTAAAACTAGCGCTGCTGTAAATAAAACACATTTAATTTTATTCTACAATTTGTCCCAGTCATAATTAAACAAATTAAATTTCTGGTGGAAGGCATCACAAAAATATTGATACATTAAATTTTTTTCTCAATTTTGCCCATATTTCTAATGTTACACAATTAGCAAACACAAAATTTTATTGAAAAAAGTTTACATTTTGCACAAAGGAAAACAAAAACAAAAAAATTATATGATCTCCACTTCCCAACTAAATCCATGCAAACATAGGATGGGATACAAAACTCTCAGAGAAGATTAGCTAGAAAAAGAAAATAGTGATAGCCGTATGCAAATATCCACCCCCCAAAAAAACACTCCAACTTTATTATCAAAAAGTATGATTTACCCACTTATCAGATACTATTAAATCCCCCCTTTCTTCTCCCTACAACACAAACACAATTTTAAAAAAAGACAATTTTCCTACAAACATCCTTTTCCTACAACCAAAAGCAGTGCAAATAAATTCTACCAAACAATAAAGTGCATATAAATTTTAAAAGCAGCCCAAATAGGCTTCCAAAGATATGCACACGGTGTAATATAATGCTATAACGAGACCACTATCAAGTTTCTGCCTCAAAGACCTGTGTTCACAACAAGCACTATGAGCCAATGGCATGATTATGCTGCCCATACATTGTTCAATTTTTTTCCTCCATCAACGCTTACAAGCGTTCATCAAGGAATCTCCCACTGTCTTCATTGTCAGAACACCTGAACAGGGTTGGCGGCTCTGTTTATGTACAGCTTTGTGTTTCTTCAATTTTTACGGTTTCACAAAACAGCAACTTAGACTATTTCACAAATATTTGTTTTTTATTAACTCAATACCGTTTTTCTTTTGTCTTTTAGCAGTAGTAAGAATTTTGGAAGTTATGTAGTGTTAGCGTGTGCAAATAATTATATTAGGGAACTTAGAAAATATAGCGCAAAAATCATGGGGCATGCAAAATCAAAAATACTATCTTTTAAATCCTTAGGCCCTGTGCTTTTAGAAAATATTTGGTTGGGGGGAAGGGGGGTATTTTACTCACTTTTAAAACTGTAAATACAATTTTTTTAAAGTAGCAAAAAGATCTGAAAAAATTGCCCGGCCATCTGAGGAGAAAAGTGCGAGACATTACCTGACAGAGAAAGGGTTAATTGATATCTACAGTATATCAACGGTAAAGAACCAGTTTTGTCAGTCAAGCAACAGCCACACAGCTATGAAATGGGAAGGATGAAAAACAGAGGATTTCTGACAATCACTGTTCTATACCTCCAAACAATCTGAAAGCTGGGCTGAGAGGACAAATACCAATTTGTAAAAGATTAGCCCACAGGCGTGCATGCCCACATCTGAGAAAGTGTAGACCACCTGATCTTTTAATGCAGAGGATCCTGCTACAAGATATGCTAATCTAAGTGTATTTGGTCCTGAAGAGAACCTAGACTGGGATACCTACACATGCTACCACTGCTGACCTTTTCTTTCTTAAAACTGTAGCTGCCTGGATGCCATGCTGATCCATTAGCTTCAAGGTTTTTCTAAGTCATTGGCCACAACAAGTATGCAGGTCAGGAGTTCTAACTTCACTGTGACTTCATGCCTTTTCCTGTCAGTGACAAAGTATTGAAGATAGAGATGGCCAGGAAACTAGGATATTCCAAGGAAGGTAAGCAATGACAGCCTCTATATCTCTCCTACTATAGGTTTCCCCCCTTTAAAGCCCGACTCCATCAAAAACAGTTTTTTGGTTTTGGTATTGCAGAGAGTGATACGAACTGGGAGATATCACCTCATTTTCTGTCAATAAAACATTTGGCAGATATTATTGCCCTAATCTCAGGGATACCAGCCACTGGAATGTCTGCCATAAATGCTAGCTTAAAGGCAACACTAATCATGTAACAAATGGTGCTGATCTCAATTTTGTGAAGAGATGAGGCACAGAAATGTTTGTGTGCATAATGACAAAAGATATTTATGATATAATATTCCACGATAAGTGTACAAGGAGCATAAACTCACTTTCTCTAAGTATGTGACTTTCCTTCTGAAGATCTTCCAGTTGCTGCTTCAGTAACTTGACCTGTGCCTGAAGCTCCACTTTTTCCTCTTGCACCAGAGGGTAGTCAGCAAATTCCTTCAACTTGTCAGTCACATGGTGGTTTTGACGGGTAACTGTTGACAGCTGAGCTCTCAAGGTGTCCACTTCCATCTTTAAAAATAACAAATTGGAAAACATAAAAGCTTTACTTAAAAGTATATATAAAGTATTGTTATACTTTAAAGTATAGTTCTACTTTTGCAGTCAAATTTTATTTTTTTTTAAAAACTACTTTTGCAGTTAAATTGGAAAAAAACAATACAAAAATAACCCCTCTGTATGTTTGTTATGTGTTCCCATACACATAGCATACCAAAAAATCAGTTTAAAAACATATTTCTTACCTTTTAGAAAACTCTATGCAGCAGGCCTTTGGACAGAGTGCAAGCTTCTCTGTACAATTTCCAAGTGACAAGAAGCTCGGGCTGTCCCCATAGAAAGACTAGAGACAAGACTGGGCTTCCCCTCAATAACATACACTGCTTCTAGATCTTTAGATCTATAGACAGACGCTATTCAAATCTACTTTACAACAGATGTTAACAATAATTTGCCCAGTCCCCCTCACATTCTTATAGATGAAAACATTTGTCAGGAAAAAGCTTATATACAATTAGCTGTTTTTATGCTATGTGAAAGAGAACATGTAACAAATATAAAATAGGTGTTATCCCACTTTTGCTGCAAAAGTGGAAATACATTTTAAAAAAGGAGGAGAAGAGAGATGGCAAAATGTCATGTTCAGTGCAAACAGTTATTGCAGCTAATTGCGCAGCAGATTTACAACACAAGTTGAAGGTTCTGTTCTTCCCCACATTACCCTATGTTATCTTAGCTATACAAACTTGGCTTAATAAACATATGCACATCTTAGAGCTGGTCCTAACAGACAAATAATGCAAGTGACCAGTGTTTGGAAACTTACTTAGGCTGGATAGTGTTAACTATTTCCTTGGCTACTCTACTAAAGATTTAACTATTTATTGTATATTGCAGTTTACGGATTTGTTGAGTTGTACACCATCTCCTCTAAGTCTGAAGAAAATATCCAGAAAAACCAGAGTGTTAGGTAGGGATGCACCGATACCGATACTCATACTCGCCCAAAATACTCCCAATGCCTATCCTGATATCGGAACTTCTGGCATCAGGAAGCCGGGCATCAAGATATTACACGCTGCCCGGCTGCCTGATTGGCCGTGAAGCTGGCTACATGCTCCCTCGTCACCAGGGAGCTGGCTTCCCGGTCAATCAGGAAGTCGGGTAATTACTCGACCCCCACTTGGTGACGAGGGAGCATGGAGCTGGCTTCCTGGTCAAATCAGGAAGCCGGGCAGTGTGTAATGACTCACCACCCAGCTTTTTGATTGGTAGGGAAGCTGGTTCCATTCTTCCTCGCCACCTGGTGACAAGGGAGCATGGAGTCTGCTTCCCAGCTAATCGGGAAGCCAGGCAGCGAGTAATTACACGCCGCCCCAGCTTCCTTAATGGGACTTTCCGAAATCGGTACGCGGTGTTTGCGAGTACCGAGGAAAAAAATATCGATCCTCGATACCGAAGAACTGGTATCGGTGCATCCCTAGTGTCAGGTCAAACCTGGTGTTTACATAATGTTAGTTTTGTCATTTGGTAATTGTAATAGTTCCATAAATCACTGTTTAGGCTTATTAGTTCTTGTTTCAGCAGGTTTAAAAAAAATGCTTGATCTAAAAGCTTTAGAGTAACAGAGCAATCTTTCTCCTAGGTATGAACCTGAAAGAACACGGCTATTAGTTTTAAAATAACCAATTTAAAGACATGTACATACATCTAAATATATATTATTCAAAGGTTTTAATTTACTGTAATATATGAGTGTGTAATATATGTGTATGTATTTGCGTATTGGGGACATTGTTTATGTTTATTCTGAAAAGGCTAATAGCCTAATATAATTTGTTGAGGTTCCTGGAGCAAATGTATAAAAGCCAACTACCTCCAGGTGTTTCGTTCGGGAAATGGCCTGCTCTAGTTCTTGCTTCTTCATGCTGATGACAATTGTGTCTTCACGTAAACGTGCTGCTTCCTCTAAACACAAAGCACAAAACAAAAGAGTGAGAAAAAAAACAAAAATAACTTAATCTGTACTTACTGTATAAGACTCAATTTTCACAAAATGACAAAAAACAAACCTAAGCAATCAGTGGCAACTTTGAAAATCAAGAGGAAATAAATGGAAATACACAGAAAACAGTCTATATATACACACATACACAGGTAATATTTAAAGCTGAATTCCTGGTGCAAAAACTATTATTTATATACCAGGTGAAACTCGAATAATTAGAATAGCATGCAAAAGTTCATTTATTTCACTAATGCAACTTAAAAAGGTGAAACTAATAGGAGATAGACTCAGGTGCTGTTATTACAGGAAGCTCCTACACAGGGGTAATGTTTCACACTGGATTTCTGACCAGATTAGGAAAAATATACACAAAGCGCATCAAGATTCAAGTAAGAATACACATGCCTCTTGTAGTTAAAAAAAATATTTACTTACCCTGCAGTTCAGTGATTATTGTTATTATTTTACCAATAAAAAAGTAGTGCTTCTTTTTGAATGTATTACCTCTGTTTTTTTTCTCATCTTCATTTACTTTTTGGGATTTCTTTATATACTCTTCCTTCAGCTCAATTTCAAATCTATAACAATAAAGAAACAAAGTATTGGGTTCCCCATGACAATATCAATATAATGGGGGAAAAAAATCTATTTAAGAGATGTGCTTTAAAAAAGTGGTGAGGATGAAGCAGCTGGCTATGCCTGGACTAGGGCTGCAGCTAACGATTATTTTCATAATCGATTAGTTGGCCGATTATTAAGTTCGATTAATCGGATAAAAAAAAAAAAAGGCTCCAGTGATGGACTACTAGACTGCTCTGCGAGCGTTTGTCCGGCTTGTGTGGTGGGCGTGGCATATTCGCGGCATGGTCGTGGCGTCCGCGGCGTGCGTAGCGTAACTCGTACCTATTCCACCACAGCACCCCCATACACCTATTCCACTACTTCACACCCATACACCTATTCTACCACTGCACCCCTATCCACCACTGCCTCTCCACACAGCTGTTCCACACTGCACACCTGTTCCACCACAGCACCCCCACACACCTGGTCCACACTGCAGCTCTGTACACCTATTCCACCATTGACCTCGATTGTCGGCCGGCCAGCAACGAGTGAGGGAGATCGCGTCGAGGAGGAGAGCAGCGGCGTGCGCGGCTTCAGCGGTGGTCGTGGCTTCGGCGTCCTGTGGGCACGGCGGGAGCAGCGTGCGGTGGGCGTGGCTTATGCGTCCTGTGGGCACGGCGGGCGCAAGGGGACGTGAGCAGCGTGTGCTTCAGGCCGCGTGTAGAACCCCGAACAGGGAAATCAATCGATAGCCGACGAATCGACGATCGAAAACGTTGCCAACGTTTTCAATCGTCGATTTTAATCGACTAAAATCGATTAACTGTTGCAGCTCTAGCCGGGACCGTAATATAAACTCCAAAAAGATAAGGCAAAGGTCCAAGAGCCTGTCTATTTAAGAATACAAATATAGCAAATATAATAAAGGCAACAAAGTTAACAGGCAAAAACAATCTATAAATAAAATCAGGAGAGAGAGAGAGTGAGTGTGAGACAGAGAGAGAGGGAGAGATTTATAGTCCGGTTATTAAAAATATTCTGACCGTAATAGCTCATTTTTTAACTTCTGGTTGAATGTGTCTTCAATGTTCTTTACTTCCAGCTCTCTCTTCCTGAGAAAATCATCCATAGTTTTGTTCTTCTCTTCCTGTAACCTTTGGCCACTAAAAGAAAAGGTGTTCTGGAGTGAAGATTTTGCCACATAACAAGTACAAATTAGAACTAAAATATGATTATTATGAATCGGAGGAATGTAGTATCCTCATCTAAGCTTTCAATTTATTATCTGTGGGGGAAAAAAAAGGCAGGACATAGAGACCATATTAAAGAAATCCTGTACTGAGAAATCCTGCATGATTCCATTACTGAGCTCTCCTTCTGAAAGTGCCAGTTACCTGGCTGTCATGCAGATCTAACTGCTTCAGTATTTTCCGAATTGCAGATCTGGAAGAACAATGGAAATTAGGAGGTCTGGCTTCACTAGGACTTTGCTGCTCTGCATGATTGTTCCACATAAGTAATTCAGAAAGCATTGAAGCCAGAGACAACCAGGCAACTAGCAATTTTAGAAGGTCAGCAATGGTAGTCTACCTATTTCTTTAAAGCCACAATTCCTTGCCTGAAGTGACAAAGAGTGGGTTTCAGAAAGATCTGCTCCACAACATTTGCCCCTCTTTTTCACCTCCAACTGATAAACAGTTTTAGTCATTACCATAGTAGGTGAGGTTGCATAAAGACCAATGTCCATCCAGTCCAACCTATGAGTGTGTGTATGTGTGTCTGTATTTATGTGTATTGAACACTTCCCATATCCTTTTATATTTAGTGACTGAAGGAACTAATCGATAAGTCTTATCTACGCTATCAGCGCATACCACTGCCTGTGGAAGTGAATTACACATTTTGACTACTCTCACAGTAAAAAAAAAACCCTTGTGCATTCTAAGATTGAACCCTCTCTCTTCTAACCTCTTGTTGTGTCTGCGTGTTCTCAGTGAAAACAACTTGTTTCGAATATTGTGGTCCCCATTGATGATTTTGAAGTCATTGAACTGCAATAAGGTCCCCTCTTAATTGTCTCCTTTCTAAGGAGAATAAGTTTAATTTTTGGAGGCGGTCTTCATAGCTCAGCCCTTCTATCCCTTTAATTATTTTTGTGGCCCTTCTTTGAACTCTCTCAAAGAATTCTTAAGTACAGGAACTCATCACAACAATCAGAATTCACTCTGCTATAGTCAGAGTCAAAACTAATTTTTATGGGCTGCTATAATGTGCTGCACTTAGGGATAAAAACTATTATTATTATGATACACAATGACATTATTTTCGAATAAGGCAAATTATGTCATTGTGGGGTACGTATATGAACCAGCATTCCTACATTTTGACTTAAGCCACACCACTTGCCAAAGAAGTATAACACCATAGAAAAACTTTCCACACTAGTGATACATGAGAGAAAATAGAGTGGTGTTTTGCAGTTGGGCATATTAAATGTGACATTTCAAGCCTGCAGAGTACTGCAATTCCATTATAGCAGCTTTGGGCTGCCATGGAAGAGCTCAGACATGAGAGGAATGTCATGGCAAGACTTGACACAAGAAAGTCTTTGCCTAGATCACAAGCCATAACCTTGCCAGATAGTACAGGGGTAGCGTTTTTGTGATCATCCTAAGATCCCGTTTACTGTGTTTTGGTATTTGCTGAATGGCAGGTAGCATGAGCCTGGGATATCAGGTTATGGCTAATCAAAGACCAGCCTCCCTACTCTTCCCAACACTGTATACAGTTGTTAGATTCCAGTGAGCCAGTTCTTTTTAATATGTCTGTGATATGACTTCCTAGAAAAATAATCAATCTTTATCTTGACCAGAAGGGATTTAGAACATCTAATGCTGCTCGGCAGAAGAATCACACAGAGCTGATCTTGTAGAAACCAAGCCTACAGAAGGCAATAAGCAATAGGTCCTTGGAATGTAATTTCTCACACATTCCTTGTTGTGAATATAACAGCATACTAAGTTTACCAATGCTATAAAGAAATATATACAATAGTAGATAATAATAAACTATACAGCTCAAAAGCTTCCATTCGTTGTCGAAGTTCAATTTCTCGACTTCGCACCACCTCAATCTCCTTCAGCAGACTTTGCCTCTGAGCATACACTTCCGTGGACTCAATCTGTGAACACAAAATGGCGATAATCAACCAATAGATATCAAGCGACTTTCTAACTATGTGTCCAGATGTACTCTGCCAATCAAACTCTCTGTACAGTCAGCAGGGAACTGGTCTAAACTCGGAATACTTGCAGCGTTAATTGATTAGCAACGAATACGTCATTACTTAATGCAGACACTGGCTTTGGTTAGGAAATAGCAGAAGGAAATAAAAAGGAATTATATTATGCATGTGGTAATAAATAGTTCTAAAAAAAGCACATAATATCTAGTTTGTTTTCATATTACGTATCATACTCAACCCTATAGCCCCTCTTCTTAGTGTGCACAAGAAAATAAATACAATAATGTAAATTTAGAGGAAAAACATAACTGGGTGGGAAATAAGTGCTGTCCTGGAAGAGTGTTGAAACAGAAGTTATCATAAAGTGTAAGTCAGGCTTTTCCCAGTCATCTTCCATGGCTGCAATATGAGAAGATGAATAAGGAACAAATTAGAAACATAACTTGGAGGGGGGGGGGCACTACTAGAACTTTACAGATCTACAAGTGCCAGGGCTTGGATGTCTAATATACAGTATGATAAGTGGTGGGGAAAGTGGAGTTACTGGACTATGTCAGTGCCTAGGTATCACTCTACACCCATGAGGCAGTCAAGGTTCTGGAAGTTGCTTCTGGGCTTTCTTATCTATGCAGTTCTAGGCAAAACAATGGTTCATGTCATCCATCTGGCAATCATATTTTTGCAGGTTTGTTTAGACTTGCTGGGCCTGCAGAATAGGACAGAAGTAACTATTCAGCTTTCTCCAAACATTTATTCAGGTATTCTTTCAGATCTAGGTTATGCAATCCTTCTAGGGTCACAAAAAGGCAGAATATACTATAAATGTACTTTATGGAAATAGGTTGAAAATCTGGGCAAAATGGACAAGTCTAAGCCCAGACTAGTTACCAAGGGAGCTTGCAAATTGCTGACTTTTTTACCCCACCTAAGCCAAAAGAGAAAAGGCCCAGAGATAGGAGCAGTCCTGTGGTTGTTTAAAGGGACATTTATTCATACCCTGCAGAAATACAGGATTAATCTCACACTAACAACACTTTAACTGACACTGGTCTGTGGCAAAAGATGGCCGAGAATAAGCTGATCATCTGTAGTCTAAGTTTATGACCTTTTAAAAGGCACATTACAAAAACACCTATGTAAAAAGTCCAAAAATAGCAGACTTCCTATTTCCTCATATATTTTCTACTTTTGGGGAGTGCTAAAATAACATGGTCTAAAGTAACCTTGCTGCTCAAGATCCTCCATTAAGGATCCAGGCAGCCAGTCCTTTTAAGCTTTTAGTCTTTCTAGAGCGGTCTAGAAAATAAAAGAAGACATTTAGCTGGTTACTACAGGCAACACAGACAGTTCTCTAGTTTGAATAAATTACGTCCACAGTCAAACTTGATCAGCCTGTTTTGTTTTAGTGATGTTCAGGTCTTTTCTGATTATACAATTTTTGTTGATAATGGTCTAAATCCACACAACTTGCCAAATAAAGAAACAGTTTAGAAAAAAAAAGGTCTGAAGTCTTTCTTACCAAGTAAAAACAGAAATAAATGAGCTTCATTTTCACATCTTTAAGGTTCTGTTGATACAGGTTTCAGCTTGTATGAGAGTACTGTATACAGTAAGCTTTTACAGAACATTTGCAAAGCTTTCAACACGCTTCAAGCAGCTTTATGGAAAATTTTAAAGCAACCTTACAGTTCCAGTTTGAGGATGTTATACCCATATCAAGGATTTGCAAAGCTTTTAGCTTCAGGCAAATCTGTTGAAACTTTCAAAGCAACCCTCGGCTCTAGAGTGTTAAACACAGATCTTAATAGGAGTGCTGGCTGTCACTGTAAACAAGCTGCTAGCTAGCTTTAATGCAGTTTTAAAAAGTGCTGATGTTTACTGTACCCGGACTGTGGCTTGTTTAAAGTGACAGTTAGTACTCCAGTTAAGATCTATGTTTAAGATCCATAAACCGGAGCTTAAAAGGTTGCTTTAAAAGTTTCAATAATGCTGCTTGAAGCTTGCAAATGATTTATGAAAGAATGCTGTACACACTGTATGCAAGCTGAATCTCATGTAAACAGGGCATAAAGCTGCTGACCAGTTATTTTCAAAGAGCACCACCACAGAATCACTAAATATAAGTTATGATAAACACACTTTAACAAAATACCTTTATAATGTCATACAAACCTCCTGCTGTCTTTGAAGTCTCTCTATAGCATTCTTCTCTCGTGTCACTAATCCCTCCATCTTGGAATGGTACATTTTCTCCAATTCTCTCCGCAAATCAGAAATCTCCTTCTGACATTTGTCTCTTTCTTCCAGTTTGATTTTTGCAATTTCAACATCTTTGAAACGTTTTAGCTGGTAAAAACCAAAACAGATGTTGCTTATTTTTAGAAAGAGGTACATTCCTGAATACTAGTCATTTGCATTTGGGGCACAGTTTCTGGTACTGATTTTAGAGCACTGATCATTTGGCACCTTGAAAGTAGGAACCCAAGCTTTTTTTTTACATAACGGTTAATGAGATAACATTTTTGTTGCTAGCATTGCAATGATATCAAGTATCGCTGTAAGAATTTAGTATTTATTGTCAGGATGGTTTCACCAAAATCTTACGATTAGTATTAGGGGTTGTTTATGTAAAGGGCTAGGTTAGGTTAGGGGTTCAGCTTACAGGTTATGAAAAAAGAGAATAAATTACTATAACTTGTCCCAGTGTCATAAGTGTATAACGTAATAAAGGCCGTTTGTGCATTGCAAGTTTTAGGCGAAGATCAGCCATTACATGTACACACTGGGTTGATGATGAACACTTCTGACTTTGTAAGTGATCATATTTACCAGTATAGGTATTTTGAATTGCTGGATAATCTCTAAGTGACCTAGCTAGTCCTTCTTGCATCTCACTGAGAAGAGGGAAGGAAATAGTGAACTGCATGTACACCACTTCAATCCAGTTTCTCATCCCATTGTGACTGAGGACAGGTAGGGGTCTCACCATCCCTTATTGTTTCCGGCATGTTTTAACCTGTATGAGCATATTAACCTTTTGAGTCATCTCTTCCTGGTGCTGTTCTTCAATTTCTCTGCGATACTCATTCAGTTTGCCTTCCAGGGACTCAAACTTAGGACGTTGTGGATACAGTTCATCAAACTGTTCATCAATGAATTTAAGTTTCTCCACTAAATCAATATAAATATTTGAGAAATTTTAGGAGTACTGCATCTATCCAAAGAACAAGAAGCTAGGTAACTTTCAAACAACAAAGATCAATCAAAATAATCTCCATTTTCATTTCACTCGAGAATATAGCGGCCCAAGTAAACAAATAAAAGCAATGTTTTAAAACCATCGGCCCAAGGCTGTATGGAACACAGGGGTTTCATACTATGAAATAATAAAGGATGACCTCCCACAGGTATCTAAATATGAATGTATGGCAATGGTGACGCAAATGTTTATCAAGTACAACTTCTCATCACAATAAATGATTTATAATAATGAATTATATCCTAAGTGATTAAACTGATTATACCCAAGTGTTTTCTTAATCTTATTAACGGTATTCCTTCATATTATATTTTAACATTCATAACAGCTTCAAAAATACTGCAATTATTAACCTGGTATTACTTTTGCCCATGATAAAAAGGGATTTCCCAGCACAGATAATTCCCCAATGCTTTATCCCCCTCCATGTATCAAAAAAAAGAGGTTGATCCTCTGAAAACAACAGTGAAGCATTGACTGCCCCTGTGGTTTGCATTGCTCACAACTAAAATGTTGTTCTTCACTGAAAACAAAACTTTTATATATCTATATCTCACAGGAGGGGGGTTCAATATCATACATCTCTAGAAGATGGCATTGCAGGTAAAAGCTAAAGCAAATCTTGGTCCTGGCAAAACCAGGATAGTGCCCTAAATGTCTATCATTAAATAATGGGGTAGGAACAGATGGGGGTGTTTTTTAATTTTGGTTTTATATATAACAAAATAGAATAAAAAAAGACATACACAAATATTTTAAGACCAGACAAAAGCAACCACTACAACATATGAAAACAGCATAGTACATGAATAACAGTCCAATAAGGGAGTCAAAAGCCAGAGTCTTCCTTCAGACACAAATATAAAAACATATTAGAAAGTACAAGAACTCCCAAATCTAGACAGGCATGACATGGCATGCTTGCTTCCTAAGAAGCATAAGAAAAGAAAAACGCGGGAGAGAAAACATATGGGGGTGTTTCAATTTAAACTGGAAACCCCATTTAGTGACAATGGAAACTATATTTAAAAATGAAACGGGCTGTACCAATCGACTCTTTGTAAGGTGATGTTGTGACCGTCTGAGTATCAGCATCTCTGCCATCTTTGCTCAGGTGATGATCTATCAGCTCTGTCAATATTTGTACTAGGAAACCTGTAAATTCAGACAAACATAGTTTTGAGCCACGTACACAATGACAATGTATATCTTTAGTTATAGATCCTGATGCATGCATACTGAGACTTGAGGTTTCTCAGCACAAAATATAAATGCAGGCAATTATCTTTGCACACATTTTAAAGGTTAATTGGGGCTGAGACTAGAGTTAACAACGTTAACAGCCAAAACTCCCCCCCATTTTGGATAGCGTGGGGAAGGGTTAGAATTTTTAATTGCTGTGTTCCCAATTTGGGAGATTAACTTACTTTTTAAAGTGGTCACTGGAAAGGGAGAAAGGGGAAATCTCCCAATGGGGACCTCTGGGGAGATTTACTCTCGCTTCCTTTTGTGTCTTTGTAAGAAGATGCATAGGGAAATGTCCTCAATGGGGATACAAAATCAACAAAAAGGGACAAAATGATACAGCAACTGTCAAATGTTTAAACACCAGCAACTCTGCTGTGTGGGAACCAGGGATGCACCGGAATTGAGTACGAGTACCGGTATTTTTTTTCTGGCACTTGCCGATACCGAATACTGATACTTACTTTTTAGCCGGGCGGTGTGTAATTAGTCCCCGCCTGGCTTCCCGATTAGCTGGTAAGCCATCTCCATGCTTCCTTGTCACCAGGAACTTCCGGTATCAGGAAGTCGGGAGGCGAGTCATTACACGCTGCCCGGCTTCCTGAGTGGCTGGGAAGCTGGCTCCATACTCCCTCGTCACCAGGGAGGATGGAGCTCGCTTCCTGTCCAATCAAGTAGCCGGGGGGCAGGTAATGACTCGCCGCCTGGCTTCTCGACCAATCAGGCAGCTGGGTGGAGAATGATTACCCGCGCCCAGCATCCTGATTGGACCGGAAGCAAGCTCCATGCTTCCTGGTGACGAGGAAGCATGGAGCCAGCATGTAATGACCCCCTCCCGGCTTCCTAATACCGGAAGTTTCGGTATCGGGATAGGCATTGGGAGCATTTGGGCAATTGCGAGTACTCGCCCAAATACTCGCCACCAATACTAGTATCGGTGCATCCCTAGTGGTAACCTAACTAGAGTCAAAAGCAAGTCTTTTATTCAAATAATTTGTTCAACATTTAAATGTGTTTGATAAGAAAAATGATCAGTATGGTATTTTAGAGAGAACTTTGTCCAAGTACATCTATAACAAAATGTGAGAGAGACTTATGTCTTGTGTATAAGTACATGCTCATAGCTAGAATAACAAATAAGTATACCTTTTACATCGCTACTCTGTAGGGATGATGTCTGCAGGAAACAAAAGCAAAAAGGCAGTATATGAATATGGGAAGTTTTACTAAAAACAATATAGAATATAAAGAAGCAGATGTTACCAGAGATTTGTATAGTCTGGAATTTGGGTTGATTTTCATCAGCTGCATTAGGTCATGCATATTCAAAGCCTGAAAAAGAAACATGTCATCTAAGTTTAAACGCTTTTTAAATTGGTGCAATGCAATGAAATGAAAAAAATATAGTTAAACCATGCTTAACATTCTGACCAAACATGATAACATGGGATATCATGCATATGATCTGGAACTGCCCTATGGTTAGACCATTTTAGTCTTGAATTACAGAATTTATTTCACAGAACTTTGAATTTCCCAATATTTAGTGCTTAGTAAGGGTATTTGGTGATATGGATTTTGAAAATGCTCAAAAGACCTGTCTGACACGACTTCTATTTTATGTTAGAAAGACTGTAGTATTACACTGGATTTCCACAGAACCCTTGGATATTAATGCCTAGAAAAAACAGGCGAATGCTGTCCTCCTTTCCTATAGAATAACATACAATGTCAGAGGTTGCCATGCTAATTTTACCAAGGTTTGAGAGACTGGGCATCGAGTTTAATTCTTGTAAGAAAACTTCCACATCCTCTTAAAGCAGACGTAAAGGATTTAAAAAAAATAAAAATCTGACAGCTAGGGGTTGTATGACATAAAAGACTCTGTATGTCTCTTCTGTTATAATTGCTACTCCCTGCCTGTCAGCGTTTGTGAGCCATGCATGCAGAGCTCAGAGCACAAGCTCAGCAAGCCCCTGTCCCCAGATGAAGTAAATTACATAATCCCGGCCAAGCCAATCAGGAGGCCAAAGATGCCGAACCTGGAAGGAGGCCGGTGATGGAGGAGAGAGGTGACACTGCAGTGCTGGAGCGGACACCCTGCCATAAAGTGCTAATATCCTGAGTATACTAGCATATTACTGCAAACACCTCCTGTGTTGGCTGTTTACTACTGTTTTAATCTCATCTACCACACCATTCTTTTCAGTTTTTCTACATATGGGTTCTGTTAGAAGATAAAGGCATTCATGTAAAAGTGAGTAGGCTGTTTCTTCCTTGATCAATGTATACAGTGTGTACTGATAATACCTCCCCAAACACACACTGTTCTGGGGTATCTTTTCGAAGCATTTATTTTTTGTTTACAGTCTTTTTGTGGTTCACAACTTATGAATCCTGCCATCATATGTCACTGTTACATATATATTTTCCTACCTACTACCTAAGAAACATCAATGCTACTTTAGGAAGAGATTCAAGTGTATAATTTTCAGCCCTAGATAAAGGTCCTCTAGTTGACGTGGTCTGTGTGAATCAACCATCAAGGGACTTTTTACATGAGTTGCAGTGTAATGTGTTTCTTGGTAACTAATAAGAACAGGGGTCAGTTAAGGACAATTTGAGGTTGTGATCAAGAAAGTCAGGATTCTTTCTCCCATACTCATAGGGAGACAACCAAAGGAAACAAAATGTTGCATATGCCAGCTGTCAAAAGTTCCTTACGAGTCCTTTAATGAGTGAACCTGTAACCCTGTGGCTTCACAAATAAACTAGCCAGACTCAAAAACGCTTGCAGCCAGTAAAGTAAGACGTTTGGACCTGCATGTTTGTTCTGGGACATTGCCACAAAACATAGTAAAGCCACCTGATGAGCATGACAGGTAGGCATCCAACTACATCTTAATAAGTTATGAACACTGCCACAGCCTACCCAGGGCAGGACGTTCTTCGAAAGCTGGGTGACATGTTGCAAATACTTTAGCCTGGCCATTGAGAACAATGGGAATTTCATTTATCTAAAGTCTGTATTGACAATATGATGCATGGATGTAACAACGGGGTAAGATGAGGATCTAGTTTAAAAGTACAGGCGCCCTTCATGTTATGAGGTTGCGAGGTGCATTTCCAAAGGCTAATATCTCGCAAAATGCCACCTAAGCCATTAGGATTACCATACTACACAATGAACCCTTTAAAAGAGACTGAATAATTACATAGAAAGTGTGAAAAATTCCAATGAATCAATGAACTAGTATACATAATGTCAAATGCTGAAACTTTCCTAACACAGGATTATATAACAATCCAGCTCACCTTTTCCTTCTCCAGTCCACTCTCTGGAAAAAAGACAGACAGAGAGTACTCATAACCACATCTTCTCATATGATCTGCTACCAGGCTATTGCATGCACGATGTACCAAAGAGTCACTAGGCAAGTCTGAATGGAGCTGCTCTTTATTATATGCATGATGTTTCAGATCCTGAAAAAGCTGGTTTCGTAGCTGTGTCTGAGGAAATAAATTGGGAAAGTGTAAAACTATATTTACAAACACATACATAACCTTTTTACTGAAAAAAAGGCAGAAAGGCAAATAATTGATTATATGTTTGAGCCATTAATGGTTTTATATACAAAAGGTGCATACCCCTATTACTGACTTGCCAAACTTCCTTCTGTAATGTGTCTCTGTCCAGAGGCAACACTTTGGTTCCTTATGCCAGAGCCTCCAGCAAGCACAACAATGAACAGCACAGTAATGGCATCCTCAAATGTTACTCCAAATCTCCTGAGACTGGCAGTCAGAGGCAGCAGTGTTTTAGATCTCACCGTGCAGATATACACCTATGAGGCTGCAGGCACAAGAGTGCCTAGATACAATCGCATACCAGGAAGTGCATTGCTATTTTTCAGGTGGAATTTCAGGCAAAAGGTAATTTTTTTAGGCTACTACTCTTGTTCAATTAACATTCTAAATGTTCCTATAACATAGCAAGTCTGCACTATACGAGTTCAGGTCCACTAAAGCTCATTTTTCAGAAGTGGTTATATCGCCATCTTCTTCTACTTGGCATACAACAATCTGAATCTCTCTTCCATCCTTTCTTACTGAAGAAAGCTGGGCAAAAGTGTTCTTAAAAATTGCAGTGCAGCTACCCCCACATTGCAAGGGTTAAATGCTTTTTTTTTTTTTTTATGTTCCTCAGCGTCCTCACGTCTATACACTGTGTATAGAACGTGGTATTTACAGGGTCCTTAGACTGCTGCAGAGGAGGGGGAGAGAGGCTCCAGGGAATGGTCTAACAGTAATCAGCTCCTAGGATAGGGTGAGTGTAACTTTTTTTTTTTATCACCTAGACAAAAACAAGCACTTAACCCTTGCAGTGTGGGGTTGGTTAAGATAAATTCTGCTTTAAACATATCTAGTTGGTTGCTACACAATTCATGTTTCAGACCCTATCATAAGATGACTTGCACATTAGAAAATGTTGTTACTACAGGAGACCTGCCCATTTGGTAATGCAAGTGAGGTTCTTGTCCTCCAAATCATGAAATGAATGCCATCATATGAAATGGCTTTATTTTAAACACACACACATATTATTGAGAGATGTACAGTATACGTGTGTCAGTTACATATTGTAAAGAAGCAATTACCTTCAATGAATCCAAAACGCCTTTGTTTTTAAATGTTTGATAAAGTCTATTGCGCAGTTCTTCTTGGGATTTATTCTCACTGTGAGACATCATGCAAGAGGTGCCCGAGTCACTGACAACAAAGATCATTTAAATTAGGCAAGAAAAAAAAAAAAGGATACAAAATTGGAGCACCTTTACACTTTGCACCTTTACAATGCTTCCTCCCGTCAGCCATTATCACAGCTTAGGATTGTCTATTGTACAATGCTTAATGTCCTGGCAAGTCTTTCTAGAAAGACACAGTGGAAGTGAAAGGCAAAAGTGTGATATATCATAGACTTTCAACCTGACTAACTAACTATGTAATAGACTGATGACCAAATTTCTAGGTTCCACTTTTCTAGAACCATTTTACATCATCTTATTGTAATGCCATTTATCTATCTGAAAGAAAAGAGCTTACTACAATGCATACAAGGTAATGGGCTGCAAAGAGTGATGGTTTGCTTTTAGCATTGCAGCCATCTTTAACCTTTTTTCTGCCAGCCCCTGCTTAACACTTTTAACCTCAACAGGCCGCCCGGCATCCTGTCTCAGATGATCTCTCCTCCCTGCTGTAGTGGACAGTGTCCCCTCCGATCCACGCTGCCTCTGCCTATACAGGCAGGGGAGAGCAGTGAGGATCAGAGGAGGCACAGACCATAGCGTGCAACCGGCTCCCACTAGGGGGAGAAGAGAGCTGCAGAACGGTGGGGGCTGATTCAATCGCTGATGACCTTTTTATTTACAACTCAGGGGAAGTGTTCTACTAGAAGCGTATGGTTGGTGAAGCGACCACGAGTTTATAGCAGAAGGCTGAATGCCAGTGACGCAAGGTATACTGACCTGGCTAGCTAGAAACATTTTTGTTCCACCATATGCTTTACGTCATTAGCACGGGAAGGGTTAAACCAGTTTTCACTAGGACAGTTAAACACGAATTCAAGGCGACTATTACAAAAAATTAAATAGTTATGAATTAAGTTTTAAAAACTTGTAGTTACACATACAACTAAATATTAGTATCTGAATCTCTCTTCATATCAACATCCTGTAAGTCACTACACAGTAAGCACACAAACTGCGGAGTTGGGGCAGGACTAGCAGCCAACTGGGCTCTGTTGTACTGCAGACACTTATCAGTGGCCTGCTGAAGTTTAATATTCAAATGAATATTAAAATGTGCAGCTGCTACAGTGGAGATAAAGGACCTAGCTGTGTAATATGGAGTTACAAATCCTTTGGCAGGAAAAACAGTTACCATATATGCATAGTCCTTAATGCACAAAGCATATATGGTAGAGACAGTCCACTTTTAAGGTGTAACGTGAAACATGGTTGCATTCTCCCCCACTTACCTGGATCGCGCGTGCCTGTTTGTGGTAGGGTTGCCACCTGTTCAGGATTCACCCGGACAGTCCAGGTTTGAATTCCCCCTGTCTGCCTGACATCTTGTGTCCGGGTTTCTGCTGCCATGAAACCTGAACACAACGTTCAGGTTTCATGGCAGCAGAAACCCGGACACAAGATGTCAGGCAGACAGGGGGAATGAAAATTAAGATAGGGGCTACTTGCCCCCCCACTGAAAATAGTCTCAACTGTGATATTTACATATGAATAAGCCATGACTCGTTCTCCCAAAAAAAATGTTCTTCGCTTCGCTAGCATGTTTGGGTTTCGCTTGAAGAAAAGGTGGCAACCCTAGTTTGTGGATCCACTTGCACAGCCGGGTCATCCACTACTACTACAAGTCCCATCTGCCACCACGGAAGAGGGACTCACAGATCACTCGGTCACTAGTACAGTGATGTATTTATGTATGTATGTGTAAATTGTTTATCCTCCAGCCCCATAACAGAAGGTCTGTAGCTCCCTACGGACCTGGGGCTGAGATGTAAACAATGCACATGTTTTATTGAATTGTCCTGAATATTGTACTTGAATTCAATAACATACTAAGGACTATTTGAGGTAATAGTGATTGGGTTTACATTAACAAGTCATGAGAACGGTCTGTAGGAGAGAAGTAGACAAAAGAGAACCCACAGATCAAATAAATCTTCGTTTTAAAAGCAGCTGCCTGGTGAGAAGTAACCCCCGTCATATATTGTCAAATTACTCCGTGAACAATTCTGCACAGCCCCCCTATACAGAGAACAGTAAATCACTCATCTACTCACATACAGCAGCGTCTCCACTACCAACCAGCACCTCCGCTGTATACACAACTCATAACCGCCGAGACTACTGACAGCCAATCACAAGCGGAGCCTTGGGACCGGCCCACCAATCCTCGGCAAGATTTCTACCGTGTTCCGCGTTCCAAGCCTCGAATACAGAACATACCTTTTGTCCGTGCTCGTCGTAAATAAAGTTTCGTTTTCCAAACAGTTGGCGCTGTCATTTGTAGAGATTCTGATTGGATGAGCGGCCTGGAATGTCATTTCCTTGCGACGGGCTGCTGTGTTGATGTGGTTGCGCCTAGTTCTTACCGTGTTGATGTGAGATCAGGTATTTGGGGGAGAAGGGTGTGTATACGGGGTTCCTTTGGAGTCTGTGATTGCAATGCATGGCTTTGGGTTATAGTGGATTGAAGTGGACAAGAGTTGTCAGGCAGCGAAATGTGGTGTAGATGTATCCTCCTATTATTTGATCTGTCACTGGATAAAAAGATGGCTTTTAACACTGATTTATTTCTAAGATGTTACATAAAATCCTCATTACAGTTAATGTAATCTTAGTTTAATGGAGTGCTAAGGAAATCGTGCACAGAGGTAGATATATAAAGTCTAAAGGTGGCCATACACTGTGTAAATTTCGTCCGGCTGTAGGCACCCTTTTACACCATCCCCGGCTTCTACAGGAAATAGATGAAAGTATATTTTAAATTAAAGTGACATTAAACCCTCAGATTTTTTAACATAAAACAATACTGTAATGTGTGCCTTACTGTAATCCATGGTTGTTTCCCTTCTCTTTGATGCTCTTCCTTTTAAAACTGTATCTGTTCTCATGCTTGGCGAGAACTTCCCTTTTCAGCTCAGGGCCTCTTCCTGTAGTGCTGGCTCAGGTTACAGCCTATACAAACGGATACACAGACACCGAGTGAGACAAGGCAGTCTGCTGAAAAGGGAAGTTCTCGCCAAGCATGAGAACAGATACAGTTTTAAAAGGAAGAGCATCAAAGAGAAGGGAAACAACCATGGATTACAGTAAGGCACACATTACAGTATTGTTTTATGTTAAAAAATCTGAGGGTTTAATGTCACTTTAATTTTACGACATTTTTTTTCAGTAATATTTTTGTTTACATTTTGGCTGGCATCCCTCCGTCAGCTGATCAAAGGAGTCGGTTAGGAAAACTTTGTATGAACAGAGCCAGCAGCCCAATGAGCTGCTGGCTCTGTTTGGGTATTCTGACAACGGTCGCTGTTAAAATACAAAAGCAACACGGGGGATTCCTCAATCAATGCGCTAATAGCGTTGATGGAGGAATCTGCTCTCTTTTTTTTTGTTCAACCTGTGGGTTGAATGAAAAAAATAGAGCACTGTATGGCCATTTGTTTTGGTTTTGGATGGAGTGGGGAAGAGGTAGAATTTCGGTTTATATTTCTATACATGACCCCCATGTGGGATATTTTTCCCTCACTTCCTGTCGATATGACACAGTATTAGAAGTGGGGGTTTCAGGAAGCAACAGACTGCAAAATAACATTATTAGTTCTAACCCTTCCTATCTTTATTAACATGTCTTGTTTTCCACAATTTCCTAGGACAGCACATGTAGTGCAGCCTGCCTAAAACAGAAAAAGCAAGGCTCACAGACAGTTACAGCTGAAGTTTAGTTAAATGCATGTTTGGGGTATGCAATGCCAGGCACATGAGGTACCGTACCTCTAACGATGTGTGTCCTTATGATGGATTATCCCCTATAATTGGCCATGGATCCAACTACCATAACAATGAATACAGGTTGGATAGTCAGCATGTTGCAAGCGGTAGCCTGGCAAATCAATAGAAGTGACAGCAGCTTATTTCATACTTTAGGAAACACAAAGTTCAATACATCCATGATTTGTCAAATGCAATTGAATTTCAAATACTATGAGCTGAATTTTAATTAATGTACAAATATTTCTTTTTTTACCTAGGTGTTCTTGACATAGAAGACCATGTCGGGCAGCTTCTATTTTGTGATTGTGGGACATCATGACAATCCAGTATTTGAGATGGAGTTTTTGCCACCAGGAAAGACAGAGTCTAAGGTATTGGAATTTAGTTCTATTCAGGTTAACGCTCTATTGGTGGTGGTTGGTGTTAACCCTTTCACTGCCGGATCTTTTTACACACATACTAAAATATTGATAAATAATAATAATAATAATGTGATAGTAACGTGCAGGTGACAGGTACTCTTTATGGAGACATCAAGGGTCTCATAGATCCCTTATGCCTCCCCTGCACTGAGCCCAAGCCGATCAGAGTCACCAATCTGTTGTTTACCTGGCTACAGCTGGATGGGATTTTACAGTGGTGAACCTGTAAGAGATATTAGCTGAGTACTTTTAAGTTTGATGCACGCAGGTGGGATCAGGGGGCATGTGGCAGGGCAGCACCTATTTAAATGTGTAGAAGTGATGCGGTAGCTTTAAGGTGCTGATACACTGCACGATTCTCGTACGAGAATCACGGGAAATCCCGCGATCGTACGATAATCGTGCAGTGTATGGAAGGCGTGCGACCGTTTCTACTGTACGGTTGCGCGTCTTCCATCGAACAAGCAGGCTGGAAAACCCGCCGGGAATTGTACGATTCTCGGCGGGTTAGTGGCCTGCTTGTTCGACAACTGCCGAAGGGGCCGGTGTGCGCACGCTGACACTGCCCGTTTGCAGTCATCGGAAGCCCGCCCCTCATTGCAGTCATCGCAAGCCCGCCCCTCAGGGGGGCGGGCTTGCAATGATCTTAAGTACGATCTGCCTGTCCAAGATGGGCAGATCGTACGTTTTTTTAAGTACTTTACAACCCTCGCAAGACAAAAGTCTTGCGAGGGTTGTAAAGTGTATGGCACCTTAGGCCTCGTTCACACCTGAACGTTTTGTAGCGTGTTCTACGCTCGACGAACGCTTTACAAAACGCTCAAACATCTAAATCCCATTGTATTCAATGGGTCTGGTTCACACCTTGGCGTATTTCAGCCCGTCCCTAACGCGCTACAAAACGGCCCACGCCTGAAAATGTACATGTACTACTTTGGGTCGTTTTTGTTGCGCGTTTCCATTGGGATACAGCCAAGTAGCCCTCGGAAACGCGTGTTTGTCGCGCATTTTTTTACCGCGAATCGCCTGTCTGCTAGTGCAGCAAGCTGTAAGCTTGTTTTAACCCTTTGTACACCATTACATATTGTGTACATCCTTGGCAGTTGAAGGCCACCAGCACTCAAAACTGATAGTTCTGTTTAAGATAGAAAACCTGTGCGTTGAGTCACATTCTATGTCTTGGAGACTACTGTACACTAGATTCCCTATGGTAGTTTGTATCTCCACCCCTTTCTGTAGAATGCAGCTAGATGCTTTGTTTATTCAACACGATGGAGAGTCCATCATGTCTTAGTCATTTGGCAATTTGTTAAGCAAAGCAGCTGGCTGGAACTGGGAATTCTGGTGGGATATATCACACATATCCCAGATAGACAAAAAAACAAGCATATGATCGACAGGGGTGTATGTATAGAAAATGTGCAGAGCTATTTGTCTTGCAAAACTGCATTTACATTCATTCTGTGCAAATTGGGCAAAAACGAATGTTCTTATTATATTTCCTTTCTAGGTTGCATGTAATATCAGGAAAATACCACATTATGGTCAATAGATGGAGCTGAGGATCATAGGAAATCCTACGCTCGTCAGCTTGTGAGCTACTGTAGCCATTGCAGATTATGTAAACTGACCCAACAGAATATACACCCAAATGCAGCTCCCAAAACTTCAGTCTATGTACTTAAGGATCTCACAGTTAAAATAAAAAAATGTAAATGGCCGTACAGCATAGGTTTCTGGTGACCTTTGCCCTGACTGGCATTCACCTTTATCACAAAGTGCTTTTCCATGCAGAGAATTGCATTGCACACTCCAAGCACTAAAATACCCGTGCTTCTGCTGAGGCTTCTGTAATAATTCACACATAGTTAAGCAATTGTTCTGTGTAGTTTCCGAATAAATGAAACCGAAAATCTATGAAAATGTAAAGCCGAACAAAAATGAAAATAAAAAGTGATTTTCTCTGCAATTTTTATGCAAAGTGTAGTTCATTCTGTGCCACGGCTTTGAAATTGAAACTGTTCCCTAGATACAAGGACAGTAAGATATTGCCATTTAAATGTATTTTATGCTTACTCAAAGGATGATCATCGCCATCTGAACCAATTCATCGCTCATGCAGCTCTGGACCTAGTAGATGAGAACATGTGGCTGTCAGGCAACATGTACCTGAAGACAGTGGACAAGTTTAACGAATGGTTTGTTTCTGCATTTGTAACAGCGGGACATATCCTTTTCTGTGGTCTATGAATACATGGTGTCCATCACCTTTTCTTACATTGCATTTTCTTACATTACATTTTGCATTCTTATAGTAATTGGCTATTAGTTCAATTAGAACTGTTTAATCATCATTCCTTAAGGGCTTGTTCACACCATGTCTGTTGAGCTGTGTTTTTCTGCACACCACCGCACATGTATGGTGTGAACAGGGCACATTAAAAAACAATCGTCTACCATGAGCCCTGTTCACACCATACATGTGCGGTGGTGTGCAGAAAAACACAGCTCAACAGACGTGGTGTGAACAAGCCTAACGTGCTTCCTCCATCTATAGGTCTGCTTGAGATATAGGCGTTGATTACGGCAGATAGGCTGTTCACATTGCAAGGACATTCTCCCTTAGCTTATTGAATGTGGTGAAATTTCTCTTTGCAAAGAATACCCAATCACGAGCAAGAAAAATAAAAAACTTATTTTTGCATGCACATGATTGGATGATGGAAGTCATTCAGCCCCATTCATTAAGCTAAGGGAAAATTCCTAGGAAAGCAAAAATTATCCTGCAAGTCTAACAGCCTATTTGCCTTTAGTGAATCACCCCTATAATGTCAACATACAAAAAATTTAGTTTTCCTGAATACCCATTTTGAGCTATTAAAACAATTATAGTGGTTTTCAGTGTCTGCAATACAGACTAGTGGTTTAATTAGAGGGAATGTCATGACATTTTTAGAATGTCCTGAACATAATAAATACGTGATCTTTGTTTTAGGAGGTAAAAATGAGATCTTTTATGTTTACCACATACAGCCAGCAGGTGGAGCTATAACCCTGTTGGAGGCCCTCTGCCTTTGCATTCTACATACTCTATATATGGACGTGTCTGGGTTTTCAGTTAGACTGAAACATTAAGGAAAGTTAACAGCAGCCCATCCTGCAGTTATTTAAAAAAAAAAAAAAAAAGTTTACATGCTTCTGAAATACTCTGAGCTGCCCTGCCTTTTCAGTGTAAAATGGATAACATTTAAACAAATAATTTGATCTCTCCAAGGTTTGATTTGGCATAGCCTTTTCATATCATTATTTGAGTTTAGAGCTTCAAAAAGTTTCCAGAATAGGCAAAGCAACCAGTAAAAGGGGTAGAAAAGGGAGGGGACACTTGCTAAACTTCCTTAACTGTATTTTCTTACATATGAGATTCATTATGCTGCATGATGTCCGACAAGAAGATGGAATAAAGAATTTCTTTAATGAAGCATATGACTTATACATGAAGGTATGGCATAATGTAAATGTTTTTTCAGAGTGTGTATAACGGGTTGATGCCAATCTTGCTATGGCAGAACTTGCAGTTCATTTACAGTACTTGGCAGATACCCAGCTATACAATAGGGTTGTAGATGAACCAACACTAGCATTACATTATTTCATTAATTAGAGGTTTTATTTCCTGTGCATGCCACTTATTATGAAAGAAATACACTATATTGCCAAAAGTATCGGGACACCCCTCCAAATCATTGGACTCTGTGTTCCGTGAAATTTTCTTGCTACTAAATATTCCACGGTCACCTGTTAGTGGTATTATAACAAAGTGGAAGCAACTGGGAACAACAGCAACTCAGCCACAAAGTGGTAGGCCACGTAAAGTGACAGAGCAAGGTCAGCGCATGCTGAAGTGCACAGTGTGCAGAAGTCGCCAACTGTCTGCAGAGTCAATAGCTACAGACCTCCAAACTCCGTGTGGCCTTCAGATTGGCACAACAACAGTGCGTAGAGAGCTTCATGGAATGGGTTTCCATGGCCGAGCAGCTGCATCCAAGCCTTACATCACCAAGTGCAATGCAAAGCGTCGGATGCAGTGGTGTAAAGCATGCTGCCACTGGACTCTAGAGAAGTGGAGACGTGTTCTCTGGAGTGACGAATCACGCTTCTCTGTCTGGCAATCCGACGGACGTGTCTGGGTTTGGCGCAGTTGCCAGATCGGTACTTGCCTGACTGCATTGTGCCAAGTGTAAAGTTTGGTGGAGGGGGATTATGGTGTGGGGTTGTTATTCAGGGGTTGGCCCTGGCCCCTTAGTTCCAGTGAAGGGAACTCTTAAGGCATCAGCATACCAAGACATTTTAGACAATTTCATGCTCCCAACTTTGTGGGAACAGTTTGGGGATGGCCCCTTCCTGTTTCAACATGCTCTCAACAACTGCGCTCCAGTGCCCAAAGCAAGGTCCATAAAGACATGGATGAGTGAGTTTGGGGTCTAGGAACTTGACTGGCCTGCACAGAGTCCTGACCTGAACCCGCTAGAACGCCTTTGGGATAAATTAGAGTGGAGACTGCGAGCCAGGCCTTCTCGTCCAACATCAGTACCTGACCTCACAAATGCTCTTCTGGAAGAATGGTGAAACATTCCCATAGACACACTCCTAAACCTTGTGGACGCCTTCCCAGAAGAGTTGAAGCGGTTATAGTGTCAAAAGGTGGGCCAACTTAATATGGAACCCTACGGACTAAGACTGGGATGCCATTAAAGTTCATGTGCGTATAAAGGCAGGCATCTCAATACTTTTGACAATATAGATGATATACCTCATTTTGTTCAGTTTTCTTTGGACCAGAAAAGCCTGATAAGACAAAGCTGTAACAGGTCTGCAACAAAACCCTCCCTTGGTCTGTCAAGCACCTACTGTATAGCCTTCCCGTCCTTTTAAGGTAGGGCGTTTTTTTGTTCATTATTTTTGCAGAGCAGTTTAAAGGTTAATACGGACCAAGGTAAAAATAAAATAGCAGAAGGATCTGAGCTTCTGATTTATATTTGAAATATAAGGAATCCTGTATTTTTTACATTGATATATTACTGCAACAAATCCCTGTGTGTTTTTAATACAAATTATGAAAACAGTGTAGGCTGGCATGAGTGCTGGTAAATGTTTGTATTGTAAATAATAAATACACCCCAGAATACTTAATTGTGTGTTTAAAAATCTGTCTTGGATCTTTGCATAATGTGCTTGGCTGCCCAAGATTGCAGAGTTGGAAAGATACACAAAACATACAGCAGAATTCCAATGAGAAGCAGCGTAATTAACCTAACAACCTCTGGCAGCTCAGACACTAAATACTTTCTGCAAGGCTTGAGTCAGATTGGGTTCATCTTTTACATGGAAACTAGAAAGCGCCTTTAAAAAAATTAGGTGCACAGAACTTGTATACACAGCCAAGTTTATACTTACTTGCAGATTTATCCAATACTCTTTGGAACAGTTTACAATGTAACAATGACATGCCCACTGTGTAGTCTATATTACTATACCAGTCATTGTGAATGTGGCCTTCCAGCATGTATATGCTTTATGGATTGGAGTAGGCTGGTAACACAATCTTCTTTATTCTGAGGGTTTACTAGAATGACTTCACTGATCATAAGGTTATCTCTCATTCATAACTGATTAATCAGTATGGCTGCATTGGTAAGTGACTCAATTAGAAATGATCAGACCATAGCATCGCAACAGTGTTTTAAAGCAAGTAACAAAACTATGTCATGAAAAATAAAATATATTTTCAACTTAATCGTTTTGTATAGTACACAGATCATGTTTGTTTTAGTAGGAGAATTTAGTTGATACTCTTTGCTCATCCACAATTAGAAGAAAGAAAAGTATAGGTATGGGGCTTTGCTCTCATCAACAATTAGACAATAGTGTTTACTCTTTTTATGTTTGTTTTCTTTCTACAGTTTGCCATGAATCCTTTTTATGAAACAAACAGTCCTATACGGTCTACTGCTTTTGATCGTAAAATACAGTTCTTGGGCAAGAAACATCTACTAAGCTAATTGATGGTGTCGCTGATGAACTGAGCAAGCTTGGTATTTATTTCATTATGGACCAGAGTGCATCCTGTGAGAGCTACGACTTATGTTTTGTTTGTTTTTTCTCCAAGAAACTTTTTTTTACAATTGTTCTTATGTTCAACTCTTTGCTTTATGTGTATTATTACAGATGTATCCTAAAATGATTGTGAAATTCGGCAAGAGACAAATTGGAAACATTTTTTTTTTCTCTTTTTGCATTTGGTTATGTGTACAATTTATTTAGCAACATAATTGTACAGGAAGTACTGCTATGTAATATTTTTAACATGATCACAGGTTTGCCATTTAAAAGCTGGCATAGATACATATTAATCAGTAAAACACCCTGGTGCACAACATGCAGCCCACCGTGTCCCAGGCTGCGTCCATCACTTATGGGCACCTTGTAGAGTGATCGTTACCTGACAGTAGAAGAGGGGTGGGGGAGCGTGTGATAAGGTGTTGAGTCTCAATGCATGAAAATGCACAGCTGTTGTGCAGCCTTCTGAAACTGCACTTGAGACCCTCTATAAAATGTTAAATTGACCCCCATTGGTTTATAGAGTTGGCAACAAATACGTTGACTTACATTTAGGGTTACTTAGCCAATGTGCTCCTGCATTCCTCATGAGGTGTAGTCAAGATAATGACACATGGTAACAACGGTCATTACACTATATTGCTTTGTACAAAACTGCTTGCAGTGTATGTATTTTTTTTGTTAATCATAAACTTTTGACTTAGATGTAACAGTCATTAATAAATTTGCAACATGGATCATGCTGTGTCTCCACTGTTATTGAATGCTTTCTTTAAAAGGAAAATGTAATATTCCATAGAATTTAGATCATAATGCAGAAGTCTATCATGCAACTTACTTTTTTTTTCTCTATGTTGGGATCTATAACATGGCCTTTGTGGACAGTGAAATCTACACTGATTAGCCATAACATTATGACCACAGGTGAAGTGAATAACATTGATTATCTTGTTACATTGGCACCTGGAATTAGGTGGGATATATTAGGCCGTAAGTGAACGATTTGTCCCTGAAGTTGATGTTAGAAGCAGAAAAAATGGACAAGCATAAGGATTTAAGCAAAGGACCAGATTGTGATGCCTAGACGACTGGGTCAGAGCAACTCCAATACTACAGAAAGAAAGGAAAACTAGTGAAAAGGAGTGAAGGCTGGCCTCTATAGTCCACTCCAATAGAAGAGCTAATGTAGCTGAGATTGCTGAAAAAGTTCATGCTGGTTCCCATTGAAAGGTGTCTGAACACACACTGCATTGCAGTTTGTTACGTATGGGGCTGCGTGGCCACAGAACGGTCAGGGTGCCCATGCTGACCCGTGTCCACCGCCAAAAGTGCCTACAATGGGCCCATAAGCATCAGAACTGGAACACTGAGCAATGGAAGAAGGTGGCATGGTCTCATGAATCATGTTTTCTATTACATCATGTGGAGGGCCAGGCGCATAAGCGCTTGGGGCAATGTTCTGCTGGGAAACCTTGCATCCTGCCATTTATGTGGATGCTGCCTTGACAAGTACCACCTACATTGCTTACATCCATTGTTGTGGACACACTGCAAAAATGGTTCAAGTATGGTTTGAGGAACACAACAAAAAGTTCAAGGTGTTGACTTGGCCTCCAAATTCTCCCGATCTCAGTCCAATTAAACATTTGTGGGAAGTGCTGGAAAAACAAGTCTGATCCAGGGAGGCCACACCTCACAACTTAAAGGATCTGCTGATGACAACTTGGTGCCAGATGCCACAGCATACCTTTCAGATGTCTAGGGGAGTCCATGCCCTGACAGGTAAGGGATGTTTTGGCTGCAACAGTGTGACCAACTCACTATTAGGCAGGTGGTTATGTTATGGCCGATTGGTGTAAACCCCTAAACTTGTACAATACAAGTTGAAAACCTGCCAGTATTCTGAAAACCCTATAAACCAAATTTCAGTTCCATATATGCTTATGCTACCATTTTTAAGCATGGAATCTGTACTGGATAATTCTAAGGGATTAAAATATTAAAACACTTGGCAGAATAAAGCATGTTTACGATTAGCTACACCGCACATTAAATTTAGTCCTCTAATATTATTGTGCTCCAAACATTCACTTTTTCCTTGTTCATAGCCTAGGTCACCTCACACTTTCCCTACACTTCCAATCGGCAACATAACCGGTACATCTTATGCAGCAGTCATGTGATCTATGGCTGTTATCTTGCTGCCATTACAGTGCTAGTAGGTAAGGTGTACATAGCTATGCAGCTGTTAATTACTGCTCACGTGGGATTGGATTTGCACTGCCCATGCATATCAGCTCTTGGAGCATCGGCATGCAAACCTTTACTCCCGACCAGGAGTGTGCATTTGAGGGAAGCTACTGCAAGTCACTGCCAGCTTCCTGTCACACATTTTGGTCAGAGGTTGCCAAGCAAACAGACACTAGAAAATAAAAAGGTATTATCCATGGCAAAAGTACTTAGGATATGCAAATATAGATTTAATTATTTTTGTTTATAAGGGTGGGAGAGGGTAAACAACAAAATCTAGGTCAAGCAAAAATTACTTTAAATTGATGTATTAAAAATCATTCAACATATCTTAAATCTGGTTTTATATTAGCTTCTCCACTTACACACCAGGATTCAAGACAGCAGCAGAGTCATTAAGTCAGGCTCTACTGAATTACACAGTGCTGTCAATTTAACATGATAACTATCCTTTATTCCCCAAGGTTAAGTGAGCTTACCTTATGAGTGAGTGAGCTGCTGCTTCAATCAGCAAGCTTGGGGCAAGTAAGGAAGCAGAACTTCAGCAACCAAGTACCTCTACAGTTGTCTTATCAGATGGGTTTAACTGTGTGCATGGAAAGTTTAAGGCCAGGGTAGTGACCATATCTAAAAACATATTAAACGGGTACTTTTTTTTTCCTCTTAATCCCCCCCCCATAACCTAGTTTTATTATCTGTTCATCCTATGTTATTTTCCTTTTCTTTTAACGTGTGTTCTGCAGTGACGTTTCACAGCAATGT